TGTGTTGAACACTTCCTTTAAATCCAGGAAAAAAGCTCCCACAACTCCACATTTGTCAAGTTTGAACATTATTTCCTGTACATGTATTGGATGGAGAGGAGAGTGACCTGATTTTAGGTGGGCTATTAGTTGGTTGGCAACCACGTTTTCTACCACCTTGGATATGATTGGGAGAATGCTGATGGGCCTATAATTGGCCACATCAGTTGGCTCACCAGTCTTGAAGATTGGTGTTATGACATCAGATTTCCAGTCATCAGGGAAAACTGCTTCTTTAATTGACAGATTGACCAGATGAGGGACTGGAGAGTACACAGGGTGCTGGAGTTTCCATACACAAGTCATTTCCATACACATCCTGTGCCTTGGAGGTTTTAAGATTAGTTAAGATGTTCATGATCTCCTGCTCAGGTACTTCAGCTGCGTTAAAAGCAGGAGCGGTATAGTCAAGTGAAGTGATCACTTTATTTCTATGGGCAAATGTTACTGCCAGGTTCTCAACTGAGTCTTTAAAGAAATGGTTGAAGACAAAAGAGGAAAACACAGATTGTTATATTGTAATTCTCTTATAGCCTTTGATTGACACTGTTATTCCACACCATACCTGTACAGCAGGACAAATGACAAATACTGTATGTTGACTGCTGTGTAATCATCCATAGGAGAGGAGCTAAGGGCTAACTGTTGTTTGTTTAGGGGGTGTATGAGTGTGTGCATACGTGCATGTGCACGTGTCTGCGTGCGTACATCAGTGCCTGTGTTTGTGAGTGCGTGTGTGTGCGTGCGTGTGTGTGTGTGTGTGGACGTGTTTAACCTTTAAGGGATCGTTGTCCCGTATACGGGACGGTTGAGCTAACATGCGCTAATGTGATTAGCATGACTGTTGTAAGTAACAGCAAACTTTCCAGGACATAGACATGTCTTATATGAGCAGAAAGCTTAAATTCTTGTTGATCTAACTGCAATATCCAAATTACAGTAGCTATTACAGTGAAAAAATACCATGCTATTGTTTGAGGAGAGTGCACAACAACAAAAAACGTATCACGGCCACTGGTTTGATACATTCACCTCTGAAGGTAAATAATGTACTTACATTCAGTAATCTTGCTCTGATTTGTCATCCTAAGGGTCCCAGAGATAAAATGTAGCAAAGTTTTGTTTGATAAAATCAATTTTTATATTCAAATGTAGGAACAGGGTTCTACAGTTTGAACCACTGTTGTCTCTGGCTCCACACCCACCCCGCCCGGCCATCTAGATGTGTGAAAGTTAATGTATATCTAATGATCCATCATGTATGACATTCCTGGGAGTGTGTAAACTTACATTTTGTATTACCATATCATTTTTGTATGTTCTCTATAGTTATGTACTTGAAAATGTATCAATTGACCCATTCGGCACATTTGGGCAGACTTGATACAAAATAGTCCAGTATTGCAATGCTTCACTGGATCAATCTGAAACTTTGCACACACACTGCTGCCATCTAGTGGCTAAAATCTAAATTGCGCCTAAACTGCAATATTATATTGTGGCCTTTCTCTTGCATTTCAAAGATGTTGGAAAAAATTAATAAATATAAATGTTTTTGGGTTTGTATTATCTTTTACCAGATCTAATGTGTTATATTCTCCTCATTAATTTCACATTTCCAAAAACTGCAAAGGGTTTCCTTTCAAATGGTATCAAGAATATGCATATCCTTGCTTCAGGTCCTGAGCTACAGGCAGTTAGATTTGGGTATGTTATTTTAGGTGAAAATTGAAAAGAAGGGTCCGATCCTTAAGAGGTTAACTATTCTTGTGGGGACCACAAGTCCCCAGAAGAATAGTAAATGAACAAAAATGTGACTAACTGGGGACATTTTGTTAGTCCCCACAAGGTCAAATGCTATTTCTAGGGGGTTTAGGGTTAAGGATAGAATTACTGTTAGGGTTAGAATTACATTAAGGGTTAGGGTTAGGAGCTAGGGTTAGTTTTAGGGTTAGGAGTTAGGGTTAGGGTTAAGGTTAGGGTTAGGTTTGGGGTAAGAGTACGGGTTAGGGTTAGGTTTATGGTTAGGGTTAGGGGTTAGGGAGAATAGGATTTTCAATGGGACTGAATTGTGTGTCCCCACAAGGTTAGCTGTTCAAGATGTGTGTGTGTGTGTGTGTGTATGTGTGTGTTAGGGCTGCAATTTTTGTACCAAATATTGAGATTTTACTTGCGATTATAGATCAAAACACTTGGGTAAACTGTTGGAATCATAGAAATAGAATGTTGAATCACATTTTACGGTTGGAATACAGGGGCACTTGGAATGCAGTTTTGTTTGACATGACAATGAATGAAAAGTAAGGGAAGAGATGGTTGTGACCAAAGTGTTGGTCAGTGTTTCCCTTGGGACCTTAATTAGATTTAAATAGATAGGTAGATTCAGACAAAGATTTTAGAATAATCTTTGCCTTTTCCGTTTTGGTTTAGAACAAGCTGTTGCACAAACAATGCCGATATACTCCACCACTGGGAAAGGCCTGTATTGGAGCAAAATCTTGCTAGCAAGATTTGCCCTCTCAGTGGATTTAGCTAACCAGCTAGCTAGCTAGCGATTAGCATTATTGGCTAACACCATTTTCTTTGGCACATTTGCAGCTTGCTAAGACCAACTAACTAGCATTTTGCGGAGAGCAAGTTACACAAACTAATAGTATAATATAGAAAACCTGTTGATTTATATTAAGAAGCAACGTGCAAAGCTGAGTTGTTCTGGTTTGGAAAAATCTGTTGAGTGCATGCTGTTGTTGGTCAATGCATGCAGAGTGAATAAGGGGCATGAGGAACGGCCTGCTTGAGTGACAGGGGGCGGGGCTTGGTGTGTGTGGGATTGGGAAGCAATAAATCAAAAGTAAAATATTGCAGCCTCTTGCGATATGGACATTGCACAATATTGCAATTTCAATGAAAATGTGATTAATCGTGCAGACCCTACTGTGTGTGTGTGTCAGAGTAGCAGTGTGCTATTTTAGGAGGCTGGGCTGCAGCAGGACGTATCTGTACCTTGGCTGAGTCATCATGGCTATAGCATTGTCTGAGTGGGCTGAGGCGGGACGTGTTTGTGTGTGTGTGTGTGTGTGCGTGTGTGTGTGTGTGTGTGGCAGCGAGGTTGGCCGGGGCAGGATGTGGGAACCCTCTCTCACTGTTCTCCCATCTGCTTCACACTGTAGGGGAGTGAGGAAGGGAGGGTAGAGTGTTAGGGAAGCGGGACAGAGATGGACAGAGAGCAGAGAGAGGGGGGTGGGGGGGCAGAGAGAGAGACGAGGGAGAGGAAGAGAGAGAGAGAGAAGAAGGAGAGAGAGAGGAGAGAGAGAGAGCGATAGAGAGAAGAGCCAGATCGAGCTCTCAGGCCCTCTCTCTCTCTCTCTCTCTCTCTGCTCTCTCCGCTCTCTCTCTCTTCTGTTCCTCTCTCGCTCTCTGCTCTCTATCGCTCCTCCTCTCTCTCTCTTCTCTGTAATGTTTCCTCGCTCTCGACTCTCTCTGCGACCCCCGATTGATCCCGTTCATGTGACGGGTCTTAGGACTTCCTGAGGTCACTAGCTGCCTGCCTCTTAACTTCTTTAGGGCATCGTCTCTGCCAAGCCAATAAGAACCTTCCTCTCGCCTTTTAGCACCTTGTCGTCCTGGAAACAGCTCACTCATCGCCTGGTGTAACCGTGCATCCTGTTCGTGACATAACTTTGTTGCATAATTCAACATTGTCTGAAGAGTGGAGACGACACGCTACACCAGTTCCCAAACAAAAATCTACTTTTTTACAGCTACCTCTAGCTCTCTCTCTCTACGATTTTTCTGTTTTTAATTTTTTATAAACGTGAACAAATTTATAAAAACCTGTTTTCGCTTTGTCATTATGGGGTATTGTGTGTAGATTAATGAGGATAAATAAAATAACAAATATATTAGAATAAGGCTGTAATGTAACAAAATGTGGAAAAAGTTAAGGGGTCTGAATACTTTCCAAATGCAATGTACTGTACATTACAAACATATATATAGCTAACCCTGCCGCATGAACATCACACAACACAGTCCTGAACAGAATCTCTGGTACATTAGACCTCATGCCAGACGGGCACATGTAGAATAATTTAGTGATTTTTATTACATAACCCCCACTCTATGATCCATGATCCTCCCCTTAATCCTATCCCATGTGTGTGTGAGTGTGTGTGTGTGTGTGTGTGTGTGTGTGTGTGTGTGTGTGTGTGTGTGAGTGTGTGTGTGTGTGTAAAACCATAATCTCCTACAACAGATGGGTCTTTCCCCTCCGTGCCAGCCCTGCACAATCCGGTGGGCACTGGTGGGTACACACAGAGAGCAAGATTGCATGCCCGTCCTTACTGAGGCTGCGGACCTGACTGCCTCACTGACTCTAACTGGATTCCTTCTCCGTGACCATCCATGCCTAAAGTTCCTCCACTCCTCAATGCCATCATAACTGCTTCAATTCATCATTCATCCTTACAGTCCCTGAATTCCATACTGTGTTATAATGTTATTGTTTTGGATTTGTTTCAATTTATGTGATTTTGTATACGTAAATCAGCTTTTAGCTGCCATCTACCATTTACAAAATAAAACAAAATCAATAAAAAATAAATATGTGAGATATATCATGCATGGTAGTGATGGTAGTGTTGTGAGATGGTAATATGGTGAGATGGTAGTGTGGTGTGATGGTAGTGTGGTGAAATTGTAGTGTGGTGAGATGGTAGTGTGGTGATGGTAGTGAGGTTAGATGGCATGGTAGTGATGGTAGTGTGGTGAGATGGCATGGTAGTGATGGTAGTGTGGTGAGATGGCATGGTAGTGATGGTAGTGTGGTGAGATGGCATGGTAGTAATGGTAGTGTGGTGAGATGGCATGGTAGTGATGGTAGTGTGGTGAGATGGCATGGTAGTGATGGTAGTGTAGTGAGATGGCATGGTAGTGATGGTAGTGTGGTGATGGTAGTGTGGTTAGATGGCATGGTAGTGATGGAAGTGTGGTGAGATGGCATGGTAGTGATGGTTGTGTGGTGAGATGGCATGGTAGTGATGGTAGTGTGGTGAGATGGCATGGTAGTGATGGTAGTGTGGTGAGATGGCATGGTAGTGATGGTAGTGTGGTGAGATGGGCATGGTAGTGATGGTATGTAGTGAGATGGCATGGTAGTGATGGAAGTGTGGTGAGATGGCATGGTAAGTGATGGTAGTGTTGTGAGATGGCATGGTAGTGATGGTAGTGTGGTGAGATGGCATGGTAGTGATGGTAGTGTGGTTAGATGGCATGGTAGTGATGGTAGTGTGGTGAGATGGCATGGTAGTGATGGTAGTGTGGTGAGATGGCATGGTAGTGATGGTAGTGTGGTGAGATGGCATGGTAGTGATGGTAGTGTGGTGAGATGGCATGGTAGTGATGGTAGTGTGGTTAGATGGCATGGTAGTGATGGTAGTGTGGTGAGATGGCATGGTAGTGATGGTAGTGTGGTGAGATGGCATGGTAGTGATGGTTAGTGTGGTGAGATGGCATGGTAGTGATGGTAGTGTGGTGAGATGGCATGGTAGTGATGGTAGTGTGGTGAGATGGCATGGTAGTGATTGGTAGTGTGGTTAGATGGCATGGTAGTGATGGTAGTGTGGTTAGATGGCATGGTAGTGATGGTAGTGTGGGGTGAGATGGCATGGTAGTGATGGTAGTGTGGTGAGATGGCATGGTAGTGATGGTAGTGTGGTGAGATGGCATGGTAGTGATGGTAGTGTGGTGAGATGGCATGGTGTGATGGTAGTGTGGTGAGATGGCATGGTAGTGATGGTAGTGTGGTGAGGATGTTGCATGGTAGTGATGGTAGTGTGGTGAGATGGCATGGGTAGTGATGGAGTGTGGTTAGATGGCATGGTAGTGATGGTAGTGTGGTGAGATGGCATGGTAGTGATGGTAGTGTGGTGAGATGGCATGGTAGTGATGGTAGTGTGGTGAGATGGCATGGTAGTGATGGAAGTGTGGTGAGATGGCATGGTAGTGATGGTAGTGTGGTGAGATGGCATGGCTGGGAAGCACGAGTCTTTAGCTCTGCTGATTGCTTCTGTCCCAACGCGTTTGTCCAATTAGCAAACATGCCCCAAATCGAACTTCCCTGATTCCTTTACAGACACAAAGAGAACAAAATATAAAAGTAATTTTGCAACCCAATAACGTGTATTCAGAATGAATAATAGTCTTGATATAAGCTAAACACTAAAAAAGTAACAATTCTTCTTTGAGAGTGTTTACATTCTGCTCGCGTCACAGATTGAATTGGAGGCCTTTGATTGGTTTATTATGGCTCTCATATTACTCTGTCATATTTATTGTGGGGTAACACTTGATGTTATTTTCATGGGGAGGAGCTGCTGTTCTCCTGTTTTGAAAGCCAGTCGTTGTGTCGCATTGAAACAGATTGTGTTGGTTCCCTGTGTCTCCTTGGGCCTAGCTGCTCAAACTGTCCACAGCTACAGATTAATCACACTGCTTTTACGTCTCACTATTCCCTGCTGAGGCAGCGCTAAAGTTACTCAGAGAGAGAGAGAGCAAAAGAGAGAGATTCAGAGGCGCGGGGGGGTGGGGGGGGTGTGGTATAGAAGAGATGAGAGGAAGAGCGCTTGAGAGGAAGAGGAGGGGTAGAGAGATTTTGGGAGGAGAGATGGGAGAGAGCTCTTACGCGAGCGGGGCGCTCTCCTGCCGACGCGCGATCGCTTCGAGCCGCAGGTCGCTCGGCGGCTCGCGCGCGCGGAGCGAGCTTGCGAGAGGCGGATGAATAGGCAAAGGAGAGAAGAGCGCAGGAGACTGCCTCACCTTTTTTGTTTACTATCTCACCTTCACTTGCTTTGGCAATGTTAACACACGTTTCCCATGCCAATAAGCCCTTATATTGAAATTGAATTGACTTGAAGGTAAGAGTGAGAGAGAGAGAGAGAGTAGAGAGAGAGAGGAGAAAAGAGGGATAGAGAGAGAGGAGGGAAAGAGAGATTGAGAGAGCTTTCATAGAGCGAGATAGAGAGATTTAAGAAAGAAAAGAGAGAGAGCCTGGAGGATAAGAGGCGCAGCCGATTGACTAGGCGCGCGCGCGCTAGGGCGCGCACGAGAGATATCGCGCGCTATCGCGCGCGCCGCAGCGACTCGCGCGAGACGGCGCGCGCTCCCCCGCGCTAGCTCTCGCGCCGCTGGCTCGCGAGATTGAGAGTTATTTATATAGCGATCGCGACCTTTGAGCCCGTAAAGAGCGCGCGCCTGAGAGGCGGAGAAGAGAAAAACGAGTTGAGAGGAGAGAGAGGGCGAGGGAGAGAGACAGAGAGAGAGAGAGAGAGAGAGAGAGAGAGAGAGAGAGACTGGAACGAACTGCAAAAATCTCTGAAGCTGGAGACTCTTATCTCCCTCACTAACTTTAAGCATCAGTTGTCAGAGCACCTTACCGATCACTGCACCTGTACACAGCCCATCTGAAATTAGCCCACCCAACTACCTCATCCCCATATTGATATTTATATTGCTAATTTGCACCCCAGTATCTCTATTTGCACAATATCTCTTGCACATCTATCATTCCAGTGTTAATACTAATTTTAATTATTTTGCACTATGGCCTATTTATTGCCTTACCTCCATAAAAAATGTAAAAAAAATAACTTGCTACATTTGCACACACTGTATATAGATGTTCTGTTTATGTTTTGCTTTACCCCATATGTAACTCTGTGTTGTTGTTTTTAATCGCACTGCTTTGCTTTATCTTGGCCAGGTCGCAGTTGTAAATGAGAACTTGTTCTCAACTGGCTTACCTGGTTAAATAAAGGTGAGAAAAAAAAGTATCATAGCTACCGTACCAACCTAACCCTAACCCACCCATCATATCTACAGTACCAACCTAACCCTAACCCACCTATCATAGCTACCGTACCAACCTAACCCTAACCCACCTATCATAGCTACCGTACCAACCTAACCCTAACCCACCTATCATAGCTACCGTACCAACCTAACCCTAACCCACCTATCATAGCTACCGTACCAACCTAACCCTAACCCACCTATCATAGCTACCGTACCAACCTAACCCTAACCCATCCATCATAGCTACCGTACCAATTTAAACCTAACCCACCTATCATAGCTACCGTACCAACCTAACCCTAACCCACCTATCATAGCTACCGTACCAATTTAAACCTAACCCACCTATCATAGCTACCGTACCAACCTAACCCTAACCCACCTATCATAGCTACCGTACCAACCTAACCCTAACACTAAGATAAAGTATATCTCACTGGTCGTCCCCAAAGCCAACATCGCCTTTGGCCGCCATTCCTTCCAGTTCTCTGCTGCAAATGACTGGAACGAACTGCAAAAATCTCTGAAGCTGGAGACACTTATCCCCCTCACTAACTTTAAGCATCAGTTGTCAGAGCAGCTTACCGATCACTGCACCTGTACACAGCCCATCTGTAATTAGCCCACCCAACTACCTCATCCCCATATTGTTATTTATTTTGCTCATTTGCACCCCAGTATCTATATTTGCACATCATGTTCTGCACATCTATCACTCCAGTGTTAATACTAAATTGTCATTATTTTGCACTATAGCCTATACCTCCTTAACTTTCTACATTTGCACTGTATATACAGTTGAAGTCAGAAGTTTACATACACCTTAGCCAAATACATTTAAACTCAGTTTTTCACAATTGCTGACATTTAATCCTAGTAATAATTCCCTGTCTTAGGTCAGTTAGGATCACCACTTTATTTTAAGAATGTGAAATGTCAAAATAATAGTAGAGAGAATGATTTATTTCAGCTTTTATTTCTTTCATCACATTCCCAGTGGGTCAGAAGTTTACATCCACTCAATTAGTATTTGGTAGCATTGCCTTTAAATTGTTTAACTTAGGTCAAACATTTCGGGTAGCCTTCCACAAGCTTCCCACAAAAAGTTGGGTGAATTTTGGCCCATTCCTCCTGACAGAGCTGGTGTAACTGAGTCAGGTTTGTAGGCCTCCTTGCTCACACGCGCTTTTTCAGTTCTGCCAACAAATGTTCTATAGGATTGAGGTCAGGGCTTTGTGAATGCCACAACAATACCTTGACTTTCTTGTCCTTAAGCCATTTTGCCACAGCTTTGGAAGTATGCTTGGGGTCATATTCCATTTGGAAGACCCATTTGCGACCAAGCTTTAACTTCCTGACTGATGTCTTGAGATGTTGCTTCAATATATCAACAACATTTTCCTTCCTCATGATGCCATCTATTTTGTGAAGTGCACCAGTCCCTCCTGCAGCAAAGCACCCCCACAGCATGATGCTGCCACCCCCGTGCTTCATGGTTGGGATGGTGTTCTTCGGCTTGCAAGTATCCCCCTTTTTCCCCCAAACATAACGATGGTCATTATGGACGAACAGTTCTATTTTTGTTTCATCAGACCAGAGGACATTTCTCCAAAAAGTACGATCTTTGTCCCCATGTGCAGTTGCAAACCGTAGTCTGGCTTTTTTATGGCGGTTTTGGAGCAGTGGCTTCTTCCTTGATGAGCGGTCTTTCAGGTTATGTCGAAATAGGACTCGTTTTACTGTGGATATAGATACTTTTGTACCTGTTTCCTCCAGCATCTTCACAAGGTCCATTGCTGTTGTTCTGGGATTTATTTGCACTTTTCGCAGCAAAGTACGTTAATCTCTAGGAGACAGAATGCGTCTCCTTCCTGAGCGGTATGAAGGCTGCGTGGTCCCATGGTGTTTATACTTGCGTACTATTGTTTGTACAGATGAACGTGGTACCTTCAGGTGTTTGGAAATTGCTCCCAACGATGAACCAGACTTGTGGAGGTCTACAATTTCTTTTCTGAGGTCTTGGCTGATTTCTTTTGATTTTCCCATGAGTTTGAAGGTAGGCCTTGAAATACATCCACAGGTACACCTCCAATTGACTCGAATGATGTCAATTAGCCTATCAGAAGCTTCTAAAGCCATGACATCATTTTCTGGAATTTTCCAAGCTGTTTAAAGGCATAGTCAATTTAGTGTATGTAAACTTCTGACCAACTGGAATTGTGATACAGTAAATTATAAGTGAAATAATCTGTCTGTAAACAATTGTTGGAAAAATTACTTGTGTCATGCACAAAGTAGAAGTCCTAACCGACTTGCCAGAACTATAGTTTGTTAACAAGAAATGTGTGGAGTGGTTGAAAAACAAGTTTTAATGACTCCAACCTAAGTGTATGTAAACTTTCGACTTTAACTGTAGATTTTCTATTGCGTTATTGACTGTACATTTTGTTTTTGTTTATTTCATATGTAACTCTGTGTTGTTGTTGTTTTTAATCGCACTGCTTTGCTTTATCTTGAACAGGTCGCAGTTGTAAATGAGAACTTGTTCTCAACTGGCTTACCTGGTTAAATAAAGGTGAAAAAAAAAGTATCATAGCTACCGTACCAACCTAACCCTATCCCACTTATCATA